TGTCTATACTGTGGCAGTAATGGCTCAGTTAAGCCGTGCGTGAGCATGAGTTTTTTATTTCGACCAAAAAAAATTGGCCACCGCGCCACTCTACATCTCCCTGTTTCCAGAGAGCCAAACGTCCACTTTATTGATGCAATAACCACAGCTGAAGTGTTACACATAAAAGGCAAACGGGGGCGCTCACACACAGCGGGGGTGTAAATGCGTTGTCCAACTGTAATTTCGGGTTGTAGATATTATAATTTTTTTTGGCAGTGTCCTTTGATGCTTGCTTTAATTCACCTAATATCGCGACATTAGCTCGCAGGCTCCAGAGTAATGTACTTGTAGCTCTTCATTGATATAATTTTTTATGTTCTCATTATCAATTTACATTTTCTCATTAAGAATTTACGTTTTCTCATTATCAATCTATATATTCTCATTATGGACTTACATTCCTCATTATCAATTTTTATTTTCTCATTATGATTTTATATTTCTCATTATCAACTTATGGATTCTCAATATAAATTTACATTTCTCATTATGAAGTTGTACTTTCTCAATATAAATTTACGCTTCTCATTATCAATTTGGGATTTCCCAATATGAATTTACATTTTCTCATTATAAACTTGAAAAGGTGTAGTAACACTGTTTCACCTAAGGCAAAGGAAGGAAGGCAAGGAAAATCTAAATTCGCCATCAACACCACCAAGGCGAATTTATACAAGGTGGTGTTGATGGCGAATTTAGATTTTTGCCGAGGTACGTCGTAATTTCAAAATGATGTGTTTGTTGTAAAATGAATTCGCCATGATTACAAAAAACACATCATTTTGACATTCAGTAAATTCGCCTTGGTGGTGTTGATGGCGAATTTAGATTTTCGCCGAGGAACGTCTTACAGGCTAACCTAATATTCACGCACGCCGCCAATTTATTGTCAAAAATTTCTCATGCACATGCAACTTGTATGAGATCAACCGAAATTGAACGGCGTGCGTATGAAGCTAACTCAATTTCCAATTTTTGTTCTGCGTGACATTTTGATTTGACGTTTCGCTCAATGAAATCAAATGCAAACGCATGCAAGTCAATTTCGGGTGACGCAAAAAAACAAATTCGACGGCATGCGTACCAAAACGCAAGCCGCGAATATTAGGTTAGCCTGTTAATGTCAAAATGATGTGTTTGTTGTAAAATGAATTCGCCTTGTTTACAACAAACACATCATTTTGACATTCAGTAGTACCGCGGCGAAAATTTAATTCGCCATCACCACCACCTTGTATAAATTCGCCTTGCTGCCAGCCGATAACACCTTGTATTAGGTTTGTTCCACACGCTTTTCGGGCTGTTTCGGTAATTAGAGCGTAAAAAAAAAGTTACTCTCGCACAAGTGTCAACAATGTGTCAACCACGTTCCAAAAGTTCCCACAACGTGAGGAACGCAGAAAACTATATTTCGTGCCTGGAATCAACAAATCAGCTCTTAACAATGATTTTGCGTGTATTCATCTTCTATAATAAAATGATCATATAACTCCATTTTCTGAAAATTCTGTGGTATTTTCCACTTTTGTGTTTTATAAAATTTGTTTCGGATTTAAACAACAGCTGTTATTTCAAAATGCCCTTTTGCATATTTGTGCCCGGAAAAAAAGTCCGGGCTGTTTTGTGCATAAAGAAGAAGACATTCACGATCTAAAAGTGGAACGTATTCGCCCTCGATTACACATTTTTCTAGCGTGAGGAACGCTTTCTGGGCTGTTTTGGGCACCCGCGGGTATCCAAACGGTAGTTTTTAGGAAGGTGAAAAAACTATATTTAATATGTTCGCCGGGTATTTGATGTTTATACTTCTTTACTTGTATATTTATTAGTTCAAATATATGATAATATCAATACAAACCTACATATCGTCGTTTAAAGTACAAAACCGCGTATCGTCATTCTGCAAAACCGCGTAACTGACATTGGCTGCCAAAAATTGGATTTGCTCACACAAGCTCTTGGCTCAATCCCTATCCATTCGTCCTGAAATATGCTATCCAGATATGCGATTTCTTTATAAAAAAGAGAACCAGTTTGAAATATGAGTGTTTTTACTCTCTAAAAAATAATTTATGCAACCTCACATACGTGGTTTTGCATTTTGCTGATACGCGGTTTTGCATTTTGTTGATACGCGGTTTTGCACTTTACACGACGATATGTATACTCATTTGTAAACACCTGTAATTATATATTTTCCTGCACTTATTTTAAAATAGGGTCCCAGCCAGTAAGAAAACGTACATTTTACGAGGGGTTCTCGATCGGCAAAAAGTTAGAGAAAGGCTCATAAATACGGTGACCATATTTATGCGAGCCGAATACGGGACAAAAATAATTTTGCAAATTTTTTCCATAAAAGCTAACAGATCTTAACACCCTCCTAAATGATCTTAGATGCATGTATTAGCCTAGAAACATCATCCTTAAGTAACATCACAAATTTGTAGGATATCTTTCTCGAGATTTTTACTCGACAAAATTTTTTACAAAAGTTTCTTTAAATTTTAGTACGATAAAGTGCAAGCTAGGACTTACCGTTAATTTTTGGCTATTTTTTTGTCGACGGTGCTACGCATTTTCATACAAAGTTAGTATGTTCGACAATTTGTTGATAGGGAAGCAAATGAGCAGCACGTTGCACTTGCACTTTATTATACTCAATTTTAATGAGCTACAAAACTGCAACCAAATTTTTTTCTAAAGGTTCTGATTAAAAAGTTTGAAATTTTGGTGGAAATTTGCAAAATTAATTTTCATAGTTTTTGCAGAAAGTCGGAAATTTGGATTCATATGGTTTTTGCTAGGAAAAGAGCTTTACTTAAAAACAAAAATAATAATAAACATTAAGTAGAAAAAAGAAAAATAGCCGAACCTTGCTAAAATGTAGAATCCTAATTTATCTTTTGGTCATTGTATCTGTTCATCGATTCGAAGCACAGGCATTCAGATTAGAAAATAATAACTCTTTATGGAGAAAGTTACGATCATATTCTTCAAAACTGGTTCATAGGCATGCCATTTTAATGAGCTTTTAAGGCGTCGAAATATAGAGGACATTAAAAGAAATTCAGAACAATTGGTGTCCCGTATAAAAGAAATTAATTTCCAGGACAACTGGTCAACAAAGATGACTGTCCCGTATAATAGAGGACGGATAGTCACCGTACGCATAAACGATAAACAAACAAAAAATAATAATAGAAAGTCTTGTAGTAATTTGTCATTTTGTTGGAAGTTTTTCTTGAACCACAAAATTTCATCATATATAATATTCGCGTACGAATGTTTTTTCGATCCGTTTACGATTGTTCGTAGGCGCTTCACAATATCAAACGAAAAAGTACTCGAAAACGAGTCGTAAACGGTTATCATATGCGACTTTTTATCCAGTTTTTCTTCGAGAAAATATCCAGTCACGAGCTCGTTTACGATGATTTTGCTGGCTGGGACGCACAGACGGGCTGAAAGTAGTAAATAATTAGTACCTTTCTACTACGTTTAAATGCGTGACCGGAACACCCGGCATTTAAATTTCTTATGAGTCTACCTAATTTAACACCTTATATCCAATGTTTAGAAGGCAGATCCCGCGGGTCACTTTTTTGTGGATCGGGCAGAGAACACTTAATTCTAGTCGTCGGGCATGCACTCATCTGACCATATTCTACATAAGAGTTGATGCATGCACCTTATCAATTCTAGCCGCCGTAGATAAATAGCTCAGGTAAGCGTCAGCTCCAGCAGCATTGCGGGTTTTCAGCCGCGTAATTGCTATTCGTACCTCGTCATAGTCGAGCGGTTGGACATTCACCATCATCGACTGGGGGTTCGATATCATCTTCTCCACTACACTCATTGCTGGAAAAGTGCCCCCTCCATAATTTAAGTATGTTCTGTACACTAAGTCGCCATGGTGGTTTTTACAGGAGTTCATCCTGCTATTGAAACCTTCCGCAAGTCGCCTCTTCTTTTCATGCTTATTTGGCGCTATAACCGTCTAAGCGATTTTGGCCGAGTTCAACAAAACACGCCAGTCGTTCTCTTCTGTGCCAACTGACGCCAATTGGAAATTCCAAGTGCAGCCTAGTCCTTCTTCACTTGGTTTTTCCATCGTAGTGGGGGCCTCCCTCTTCCTCTACTACCACCAGCGGGTTTCGAGTTGAATACTTTCAGAGCTGGAGCGTTGCATTCCAATCGAATGACATCGCCAAGCCAGTGGATCCACCGTATTTTAATTCGTTGCACTATTCCCATGTTGTTGTAAAGCTCATACAGTTCATCATTCCATCGTCTGCGGTACTCACCGTCGTCAACGCATAAGGGCCCGTAAATCATGCGCAAAATCTTTCACTCGAATACTCCAAGAGCCGCCTCACTTTATGGTAGAATTTTCGGGTGTCTTTCCTGTCGGCCAGCATTTCAACTTCTTCGCATTTACGTATTACGGCCTCGGTGTCACATACCACGCGTTGCGCCCAATCACAGCTTGGTCGACGTTGAACTTTCCTTGCATTGCTGGACGTACATTTTCTGCTGCATAGAGGAGTTTGTATATCTTGGCTGCAGAGTCGGACTTTTTGAGCCAAATCGGCAATTAGATGCAGTTCTTAAGGATATCCCGACCCCAGCGCCACCAAGCGAGAAAATTTTTGGGAGGAATATTTCTACTGAAGGTACTGACATACATATGTTCGAAATTTGAGCCAGATCGGTCCGTCCGTTTAGTAATTCAGTGGCATACAGTATACAGAAAACTCACAGCTTTCTTAATTTTTTGGCAGCAATAAGAAAAAGTTTTCAACTTTTTTAGCGAACAACCTTCCACACAGAAGTTTCAATAAATTACTTTTTACAGAATCGAATCCATTTAGTCAGGCATCACCGTCATACGAAAGACATTTCATTTTTATATATATAGATAGATATAAAATAAGATTAAGAAGGCTATTCAGTAAATTTATTGTTGTTAATGTACACATTTATTTGTATTTGCGAATATAGGTATGTATATAGTGTTTGTATATCACTTACATATGTATATATTTATATTAAAAGCACAAATATTGGGTCTCAAATGAACTCATAGCACAACATGCGCCGATAACTACTGTTATTGTGACAATTTGTTTCCGTTCCATATGTACTCACAGAAGGTAAAATTATGTGTAAAAAGCTCCAATTATAGCTTACAAATATATAGTATCTTATTTTATGTTTTACAAATTCCAATCTCGATTTTCATATATCATTTACTAAAATACCTACATACATATCTGTGTCGTTCAATTAAAGTAGCCTGAGTCAGGATAGGCCGTTTTCCCTTTAAAGCAACATTTCATTGGGTTCCCAAACATATTTTAAAGTGTAGTTCAAGATGCCCTTTAGAAGCTTAGTAAAAATATAAAAATGCTCAAGGGAAACTGATTATTTTTTTAGTTCAAAGTCAAGCCACTTAAGCTATTTTCAATGAACGGCACAGTTATGTATGTATGTATATGCATACATACATACATAATTTCAGGATAGTGAAACATATAGCAGGGCAAAGGTTCATATTTTAATTTTTCTAAAGCAACTTTTAAATATTTGTTCCAATTAAACAAAAAGCAAGACTACATACATACATGTGTTGTTCTGCTTATGCATATACATACTTGAGAGTTTAACTAAATAGTTTTGCACACATACATATATGCTGCTGGATCAACTTACTCCCCATAAGGATCAAATGATTAGACGGTGCACATGACTTGGATTAATTGACTGTTGACGCTTGACGGTATCCCTACCATCCACAGTCACCACATTGACTAGGTGACTATTTTCCTGGTGGTTCGATCGCAAATGAATATGATGGTGGCTAGTGTCACCTGTATTATTGCTAATACTCGGATGAAGTAACGAAGTTGTGGCTTTAAGGCGTCTATGTAAAAGGCGTTTACCCTATAAAAAGTTGAATTAGTACGAAGGAGTTAAAACGAATATGCAAAAGTTTTCACCTGCCGCGTTTTACTTGATTTGGAATCCTCAATTAAGCAATTTGGCACTTGAAACAGCGACTCACCACGTGTTATCAGCATATTAGTAAGACGACAGCACTGAGCAGCCATCTTAACTTGCTCTTCAATGCTATTCTTGTCAATTGGATGTATGTAACGTGGCGGGAAAAATGACGGCGCAATTATTGTTGATACATTATGCATATTCATCTTATTGTATTCTTTCTGCTCAATGACATTGTTCAGAAAGCGTAGCAACGATCGTAACGTATTTCGATTTTCATGCGGCAACATCTGGCAAATAATCGCTAGGGCTTTGGATTGATCCGAAAGGGGTAAAGCATGGCATTGATAGAATAGCTGAATGAGCTCATTGGTAAGTAGCGGTTGAGGCAATTCCCTCAACCAACGCTTAAGTAGTGCACTTAGATCATGAACACTGGCTGAGCTCAATAGCTGAGTAAACTTTTTCGGCTTCTGATAGAAGCTTGACTCCAGTTCATTGTATAGTATTTCAGTCTAGGAAATGATTTAAAGGTTGAATTAAGCCCCAGGATTTCAAATATATATTAATACATGTAATTTACCTTTTGCTTGTGCCCGGCGACGCGCAGGATACCTTCTTCTCTAGCACCACGTTTCGTCAGCTCTTCTAAAATACCTTCAAGGAATAACGGCACCAACGTAGAGTCCCTTCCTGTTATTTGTTGATCGCGTCTTATAAGCGCATTCAGAGAAACTCCGAAGAGGTTACCTTCCTCTTTGCGTCGTCGCTTGAACGGTTTTCGCTTGTCCAGTGACACATGATTACGGTCAAAAATTGCCGCTAATTCTAACCAAAAAACAGTTTGTAGTCGCTTCAATTCTGTCTCATTTATAGTATCTATATCGGTACAAAACTCTAATGAAGCGTCACAGCTATCCACAACATCCTGAAAATGGCAAAATTCAATCGAGTTACATAAAATATAAAAGCGTATCATTGGGTAAGGTAAAAAGATGTGTGAAATTATTCAAAACATGATACAAAAATAGAAAATAGTAATAGATAAGACTTGCGTGTTTCCAAACTACAAAAATTCGGTACACCTGTGCAAAGGTTCGAAAATAAATTTGTTTGCTTTTCTGAGGATGGAGTACGTAAATTATACTCTACTAATGCAGTTTGATGACAAACTGCTGACGCAAAGAATTTTCAAACCTCTAAACGAGGTACCGTTATCAGTGGAAGAGGGGGCGGGGGGGGGTCGAGTTAAAATGATGATCTGCAACCTTTAACTTTTTGGAATTTTCTGATAAAGATGCGACGCTGCTAAAAAATATATATGCATAGATGCATATCGTCGTTTAAAGCATGATAAAAATATAGTAAGGTAAAACCGTTCTCTCAATTCGTCGGCGATGATTTTTTTTTGAAGTTTGCCATTATTTTAAAATCATATAAAATTGGGAGTAAAAACAGGAGGAGGTTTGAGATTGAAAATGAGAATGTGTGTGAGAGTTTGTGTTGTAAATTTTAAAATTAAATTGCTTGCAAACGTCAAGAATTTGAAAAATTTCTCTCAGCGGTTCTACCTTCCTATTTTTTTATCATGGTTTAAAGTACAAAACCGCATATCAACAAAATGCAAAACCGCATGTGGTTGCATAAATTAATTTGTAGATAGTAAAACCACTCATGTCTCCATATGGTTATCTTTTTTATAAAGGAATCGCATTTCTGGCTAGTATATTGAGCCAAGAGCCCCTGTGAGCAAATCCAATTTTTGGCAGCAAATGTCAGTTACGCGGTTTTGCAGAATGACGACACGCGGTTTTGTACTTTAAGCGACGATATGTATAAGCACGAAACTATGTATTTTTGAGAAGCATTATCTACATAAGATGAAAACTACTGAAACAAAAAATTTTTAACATATACATACGTCTAGTCAAAGGCTTAAGCTTTTATTTAAAACTAATATTTCGGTTTGAAATATGATTTTTTTTTGTAAATTTGGAGGTGGACTTTCCGCTAAAATACTGTGGATAGCGTAACCGTTTTTTCTGGCGCGGCCAAAGACCACCAACGCGGAAAGGAGTTTTGCGCAAAAATGCTGCGGATTGCCCAACACGAGTTAATTTTTTTTTTTTGTGAAAATGGTAATTTTAAGCCATTTTGAAATGCATGTAGAAAGGACAGGGAGGCGAAGATTGAATTTTCTTCAAGTTTATACTGTGCTCTTTCTAATGCCAAACCTCTTCCCCTTTCGCTCCCTCCAAAAATCATTGTACAAATAACCGAACATTTCTGATGTATTAGTTGCGTCTTTTATCTCCCAGAAATAGTCCGAATTAGTCAGATTTAGTTCAAAAAGCGTTTCTTAACTCGAAAATGACAGCAGAAATGAGAGAGCAACACTCAGTGAGAGTGACACTCTTCAGTCCAAAGTAGTCAGATTTAGTCAGAATAATTTTTGCTGGCAAAATCTTGAAAAGTGTCAAACTCAACTGAATTTAAATTAACGGAAATTAAAGAATACACGAAAAGTGAGAATAATCTAAAAACTAAAAAAAAGTGAATTGAAAATGGTAGGAGGCAGAAAATTAATCCTATAGTAAGTGTTTATTGTGCTTGTGTGAATGTGTTTTGTGCATACATTTCTATTCTTATTTGACGTTAGTTTTTTTGTTGCCATTCTTTGGACTAAAAATTTGTTTTTTGAGTTCCTTTACTTTTTCCTACTATTCTCTTTTAGTGAGCGCGTTTTGCTTACGCTCTCTAATTTTGACACTTCTCAGATTTTAGTCAGAAAAGATGAGGAATGGACCTATTTATTGTTTGATTCCATATATGTAATCTACTATATATTTTTGAAGTATGCATGTATGTATGTGCCAGGTTGCAGTCTAAACGGACGGACAGAATCGAACAAAATTTTGACACCTGGGCCTATAATAGGGTAAAAAAATTGGGATCCGACAAGGGGGCGTGGCACCTCCCATAGGCGTGAAATTTTTAATCAGCCATAACTTCCAGACTATAAGTCCCAAGAACTTGAAATTAGGTATGCAGACATATCAATGGTAAATGCTTGTAGGAGGGTATATATAGATGAGTTTGTAGAAGGGGGCGTGGCACATTCCATAGGCGTGGAAATTTTTATCAGCTATATCTTTGGAACCATAAGTCCCACGAACTTGAAATTTGGTATGCAAACATATCAATTGTAGGTGCTTATAGGAGGGTATATATAAACGAGTTTGTAAAAGGGGGCTTGGTACATCCCATAGGCGTGGAATTTTTTATCAGGTATAACTTCGGAACCATAAGTCGCACGTAGGGTGGCCAGATGCGCTGATTTAATCAGTACATTTTCTGATTTTTATAAGCTTTTATTTAACTTGGTCATCCCGCGCGAATCGCGGAAATTTCTAATTTACTTCGTTTTTAAAGAAGCTTGTCGGCGAATTCAGCGTACATGCATAATTGGGTAGGTATGTATGTATATGTATGTATGCAGATATTTAAATGCCGTTTTGCTATTCGCGAAACAAGCTTTTTTAAAAACGAAGTAAATTAGTACAAATTGTTAGTAATTTTCGTTAGAGTTTGAATAACTCCTTTCACTAAATGGCTTTTAGTAACTTTAACGAGATCTTAACTTATTTTATTTTATTCATTTTAGTGCAGTTTTGACAAAATTTTCTTGTAAAAAAAAACTTTTGTTACACTCCTTCATTTTATTCCTTTGATTGTACAGGTTAAATAAAAGCTTGTTTTAAAAAAATATTTTTTTTACATTATTTTATTTTCTATTGTACTGATTTTTAAGAGCCCGAAATCAGTACGCAAAATCTAATGACTTTTTTAATCTGTACTGATTTTTTACTGAATTTTACATTTAGTAAATACTTTTGTAAATTGGTGTAATTGACATTTACTTGAGGTTTACATGTTCAAAACAATGGTTTTTGACAAATAATACGTGTGAGCAGGTTGAAAGCATTAATTAAACTTGAACCATTATTAAAAAGGTATCAGCTTGCAATTGTTTCGTTTCCTAGGATTTCGCAAAATAAGAAACTGTTTAGATTCAACCCAACGCGATTTGCAATCACGATTTGCAATTTACGATTTACAGGAAAAGCTGGTTTCGCCATTAATAAATCTTATGAAAGGTGGTGGTGAGTTAATCATATATTAAGTACACTGAGAAGATGACAATAAGAGATAATCTTTTGATTATAATTAAACATCCACTGATAAATAGGCTGTCAGTATTTCAAACTTAGTTCTAGTAAGTTCTAAAAATTTGGAAAAGGTGTAAACTACCGACTCTTGGATATGATATACATATATAGCTTTACTATGATTTTTTATGTTCGACCACCTGTAATTTTACTTGCACATACACATTTAACACTATTAAATTTCATTCGTACTCGAAAATTCGTTTAGCGATAATTCGGTAATATACCTTTTAGTCAACATTTTAGTGTGAATGTTGTATTTAATAAGCACACCAACTAAATATGTTTAAAATTTGTAGCTTAAAATATGCAAAAGATTCTGACTCGAGCTCTTCTTCTACTGAAACTGAATGGGCTAAACATTTTTTTTTCTTATTTTCTCAATTTTTATAAATTTTATATTATATTATTTTATAACTATATTTTAAAAAAAAACTTAAATTAAGTAAGGAAAGAAAAAATTGTCAAAACATGTCAATACATTTTACTACTATTTTCCTGAGCACAGCTGTACATACATACGAGATACCTTTGATTTGTTTTAAAGTAATGAATTTTTATATTGATAATACTATATGTATTTAAAAGTCTATTAGTTATTTTTTGTTAAATTAATACGCTGTTATTTGGTTGTTATATTGTTAATAATAAAAAATACGCTTAAAAAAGAGCTGATTTTTATGGCTTTGTACTGATTTTTGATGCCAACTGTACTGATTATGTCACTATAATATCTGGCCACCCTAGTCGCACGAACTTGAAATTTGGTATGCAGGTATAGCTATGGTAGGTGCTTGTAAAAAGATAAATATAAATGAGTTTGTAAAAGATAGCGTGGCAAATCCCATAGGCGTGGAAATTTTTATCAGCTATAACTTCAAAACCATAAGTCACATGAAATTTAAATTTGGTATGCGGACATATCTATGGTAGGTGCTTATAGTAACGTGTATATGAATGAGTTTATAAAAGGGGCCGTGCCAGATCCCGTAGGCGTGGAATTTTTAATCAGCCGTAAATTGGGAACCATAAATCACATGAACTTGAAATTTGGTATTCAGACATAGGTATAGGTGTTCAGAGTAAAGTATATATAAATGAGTTTGTAAAAGGGGGATATACATATATGTATTCATCTATTAGATAACTCAGATATTTAAAACTGTGTGTTTTTTTTTGAAACCTTACCGTCTTTAGATTATTTTGAAATGGAAATATTAAATGGTTTTTTAATCCCGCGATGCTGTTAAACGAAAAAAGGTTCATTCATAATGAATAAAACTCCTTCCGAATTAAGCATTCTACCAGAAAAGTGCAGCTATACTAAAAAAGGTAATCGAATAGGCAGCTAAACGGAATGGACCGTAGTAGAATAATTTAGATTTAGAAATTTGATCGTTACCTTAATCCACCTAATTTCAATAATGGAACAAGATTTGTAAGACAAGTGATGATCAATGTATATTAGCTAAAGCACGATAAAGCTAAAAGTATGGCTCATAAGGATGCCTTAATGTAAACTGTTTAGGCGCGTCTGCTAACACCAGGCGCCTAAATACATGGATGTACTGCTGCATGTGCAAAAATTTCCTTTATGCAATTTAGGAAATGTTTGCATATCGATGGCTGAGTGGAAGATCGACCGATCTCGACAGCCAGTTCGAAAACATTCTATCTCAAAAAACTTTTCAAGAACACC